GGACTTCAAGGACCTGGACCTCTGGAACATTCACAGTCTGAAGGTAGAACTCTGGTCAGCAGATAGAGGTTCTGCAGAACCAGAACCAGATGTTCTGAGGAGGTCTGGGGGAAACTTTTGTTGATTTTATCATGAATGATCAGATTACTTCTAACAAGAGTTTTTGTTCGGGTGTCGGATAGAAAACTCTTTTTCTACATTCATTCCATCTGTTGCTCCTCAAAAATCCAAAATGTTTAACCGGAAGCTGAAGATGCTCATAAAGAGAAGCAGAGTTTATTTTTCTTCTTTCATTCCATTTAACGCTGACGTGAGTTATCGCTGCCTGATGTATAAACTGCTCAGAACTGTAGTGAGAGTTTCCATTAACCTAATTGATGAGGTGGTAGCCTGAAGTCTGAAGACAGAACTTCCTGTTTAATCATCTTGTATTGGAATGATCCGGAGTCCAGTTTACCACAGTCTAAATCAGGACAATGATCCAAACCTGATGATTCTGGCAGAAAGGTTTTGGTTTTAGTTCACTAGAATTAATTATTAACAGTTTACACTGATTATGATTCATAGAAGTGAAACGTTCTGTCCGGTACTGTCCCGGTTGTTTCGCTGTTGTTGGAAAAACTCCGACCAGATGGCAGGAAGCCGCTTTAGCCTCTGATCGGGCTGCTTCAGTTTAAACTGGGAGTTTGGGAAAATCCCTTCACTAAGACTTCAGATCACAGAAATACAGCGTTCAGTCCTCCAGCGCAGCATTAGGTCAGTAAACGCCTCTTCAGATCCAGACCAGTCCGCTGGTGTCTGAAGTCATTCCACTGATGTGCTCTGTGTTGCCCAATCTGTTGGTTTTAAAATGTTCAGACTGGCTCCTTCCATCTCTGTTGTACTGTTACTGTAGTTCTGCTGTAACATAAATGTTTTCTAAGTTATTAAAACCAACATCCAGCATCTCCTCAGCCGCTGCCTCTGACTGCTCAGTATCACCACCTTCACATCACAGCTGCAGTTTGAGCGTTTTACTGTAAAACTTGTTTCATGACCGATTACTTTTCCTTACATGTAATTAGGGTCCNTGTGGAGCACGGAACTGATGCTGATGTTTAGTTAGAGAAGAAATGAACAGAACCAGGTCCAGTGTTCAGACTGAGACACCTGGATGGATGTAGAATTGATCTGGTGTCAGGTTCTAGCAGAACCCAGATGTGTTCTTCCTCCTAAATGTCATGTGTCTATCTGCTGTACTGATGAAGTTCTGAGGCTCAGAAATGATGGAAAAAGTCCATTAAAGTGATCAATCTGGACCCTCCTCTGTGGACTTGAAGGACCTGGACCTCTGGAACATTCACAGTCTGAATGTAGAACTCTGGTCAGTAGATAAAGGTTCTGCAGAATCAGAACCAGATGTTCTGAGGAGGTTCTGGAGGATCTGTTTGATTTTTCATGTGTGAAGTCGAGCAGCTTGGAGTTTGTTCCCCAGTAAAATGTCTTTAAAGGTTTTTAACTGGAGGACGTTTGAAGAAGCTTTACTTTTCTGACTGAAAACAAACGCTGGTCACTGACCGACCCGGTTTCTGTGCTGAGCTCGGCTGTGGGGATGAACTGAACTCAGTCACATCAGTGTCCAGGCTGGACTCCGTTCATCTGCCGTCCACAGAAAGAAACGAGGCTCCTCATCTCTGCACACTTTAAACTGAAGGCTGCGCTGAGCTTCCTTTTCCTTCTTCCTGTCGGCTAAACGTTTGTCTTTCAAGCAGCATTTCTAACTGAAATGGAGGATGATTAAACTTTGGCTGATATGTATGAACCCTGAGAAGGCTGTAAGCAGTGAGTTAGTGACACATTTATCCAGCAGCCTCCTGCGACACTCGTCCTGTCTGTTCAGCTGCATCTGCTGTAGTCTTTAGAAATCATCAGTCATTCATCTCCCACCTGGATGCTCTGGTTCTGGTGTATAAATATGTAGACAGGGATGAACAGGCAGCAAAAGGCTGCTGCTTGTTCATCATAGAGAAAATATATTAAGAAAAAATCATTTTGTACAAGTTCAGATAGTAAATATACAGAAAGTACAAATGAAATCAAGACAAGGTTTTATATATAAATTGTATTATTGATCTGCTGTTTTCTTTCCCTCGTCATCATGAACCTGCTCTGAACCAACTTTCTTCTTTAATTTCAGTCCAAAGCGTCGATTTAAAGACGGCTGCTGCTTCAGTCTGTAGTTCAGCAGTTTGATCAGAGACTTCACGTTTCTATGTGGAGAGAAGTTCTGTTTAAACCCAGCCAGATGACTTCTGATGAGTCCAAACAGACGGACGTCGGTTTCATTCAAGACATTTACAGATGCAGCAGCGCTCATCAAAAACCTGCAGCATCGTTCACAGGATTCTTCTTTCTGATCAGAACAAATGACATCTGATTATTCCATCAAAAATCATCCAAATCTGAACAAAATTCCCTCAAACCTCCTCAGAACATCTGGTTCTGATTCTGCAG